ATTCTAGATATCAGCCCTCTGTCAGATGTGGAGTTGGTGAAGATTTTTTCCCGTTCTGTAGCCTGTCATTTTGTCTTGTTGACCGTGTCCTTTGCCCTACAAAAGCTTCTCAGTTTCAAGAGGTCCCATTTATTAATTGTTGTTCTCAGTGCCTATGCTACTGGTATTATATTTAGGAAGTGATCTCTGGTGCCAGTGTGTACAAGAATACTTCCTACTTTCTCTTCTATCAGGTTCAGAGTAACTGGATTTATGTTGAGGTCTTTGATCCACTTGGACTTAAGTTTTGTGGATGGTGACAGATATGGATCTATTTTTAATCTTCTACATGTTGACGTCCAGTTATGCCAGCACCATTTGTTGAAGATGCTTTCTTTTTTCCATTGTACAGTTTTGGCTTCTTTGTCAAAAATTAGGTGTTCATACATCTGCGGAGTAATGTCAGGGTCTTCAATTCGGTTCCATTGGTCCACATGTCGGTTTTTTTGTGAGTACCAAGCTGTTTTTATTACTGTAGCTCTATAGTAGAGCTAATTCAGGGATTGTGATGCCTCCAAAGGTTGCTTTATTGTATAGTATTCTTTTAGCTATCCCAGTTTTTTTGTTTTTCCATATGAAGTTGAGTATTAATCTTTCCAGGTCTGTGAAGAATTGTGTTGGGATTTTGATGGGGATTGCATTGAATATGTAGGTTGCTTTTGGTAAGATTGCCATTTTTACTGAATTAATTCTACCTATCCATGAGCATGGAAGATCTTTCCATTTTCTGATATCTTCTTCAATTTCTTTCCTCAGAGACTTAAAGTTCTTGTCATACAGGTCCTTCACTTGCTTAGTTAGAGTTACCCCAGGTATTTTATATTATTAGTGGCTATTGTAAAGGGTGATGTTTCTCTGATTTCTTTCTCAGCCTGTTTGTCATTTGTATATAGGAGGGCTACTGATTTTTTTTTAGTTAATCTTATATCCTGCCACATTACTGAAGGTGTTTATCAGCTGTAGGAGTTCGTTGGGTGAATTTTTGGAGTCACTTATGTATACTATCATATCATCTGCAAATATGAAACTTTGACTTCTTCCTTTCCAGTTTGTATCCCCTTGAACTCTTTTTGTTGTCTTATTGCTCTAGCTAGATCTTCAAGTACTATATTGAATAAATATGGGGAGAGCAGACAGCCTTGTCTTGTTCCTGATTTTAGTGGAATCACTTTGAGTTTCTCTCCATTTAATTTGATGTTGGCTGTTGGCTTGATATAAATTGCCTTTATCATGTTTAGGTATGTTCCCTGTATTCCTGATCTCTTTAAGACCTTTATCATGAAGGGGTGTTGGGTTTTGTCAAAGGCCTTTTCAGCATCTAATGAGATGATCATGTGGGTTTTTTTCTTTCAGTTTGTTTATAAGGTGTATTACATTGACAGACTTTCGTATGTTGAACCAATCTTGCATCTCTGGGATGAAGCCTACTTGATCATGGTGGGTAATTGTTTTGATGTGTTCTTGGAGTCTGTTTGCCAATATTTTATTGAGTATTTTTTGCATCAATGTTCATGAGGGAGTTTGGTCTGTAATTCTCTTTCTTTGTTGCATCTTTGTTTGGCTTGGGAATCAGAGTAACCGTAGCCTCATAAAAGGAGTTTGGTAACATTATTTCTGTTTCTACTGTGTGGAATAAGTTAAAGAGTATTGGTATTAACTCTTTTTTGAAGATCTGGTAGAATTCTGCATTGAAAGCGTCTGGCTTTTTTTGGTTGGGAGACTTTTAATGACTGTTTCTATTTCCTTAGGGGTTATTTAAATAGTTTATCTGGTCTTGATTTAACTTAGGTATGTGGTACCTATCTAGAAAATTGTCCATTTCTTTTAGATTTTTCCAATTTTGGGGGAGTACAGGTTTTTGAGTATGACCTGATGATTCTCTGGATTTCCTCATTGTCTGTTGTTATGTCCCCCTTTTCATTTCTGATTTTGCTAATTTGGATGTTCTCTCTCTGCCTTTTTGTTAGTCTGGATAAGGGCTTGTCTATCTTGTTGATTTTTCTCAAAGAACCAACTCTTTGTTTCATTGATTCTTTGTATTGTTCTCTTTGTTTCTCTTTTATTGATTGTTGCTCTCAATTTGATTATTTCCTGGCATCTATTTCTCCTGGGTGAGTTTGTTTCTTTTTGTTCTAGAGCTTTCAGGTGTGCTGTTAAGTTACTAGTGTGAGATTTCTCCAACTTCTTTATGTAGGTATTTAGTGCTATGAATTTTCCTCTTAGCACTGCTTTCATAGTGTCCCATAAGTTTGGGTATGTAGTACATTCATTTTCATTGAATTCTAGGAAGTCTTTAATTTCTTTTTTTATTTCTTCCTTGACCCATTGATGATTTAGTTGAGCATTATTCAGTGATTCTCATGGAAATGAGATTGTAGGCTTTCTGTAATTTTTGTTGTTGTTGAAATCTAACTTTAAACCATGGCGGTCTGATAGAACACAGGAGGTTATTCCAATTGTTTTGTATCTGTTGAGATTTGCTTTATGACTGAGTATGTGGTCGATTTTAGAGAAGGTTCCATGGGGTGCTGAGAAAAGGTATATTCTCTTTTGTTAGGGTGGAATGTTCTGTAGACATCGATTAAGTCCATTTGAGTCATAACATCAGTTAAGCCCCTTATTTCTTTGTTAAGTTTGGATTTGGCAGATCTATCCAATGGTGAGAGTGGGGTGTTGAAGTCTCCCACTATTAATGTATGGGGTTTATGTGTGATTTAAGCTTTAGTAATATTTCTCTTACATATGTGGGTGCCCCTGTGTTTAGGGCATAAATGTTCAGAATTGAAACTTCATCTTGGTGGATCTTTCCTGCGATGAGTATGTAATGTCCTTCTTGATCTCTTTTGATTGATTTTAGTTTGAGGTCTATTTTGCTGGATATTAGGATAGCTACAAATGCTTGTTTCTTAAGACCATTTGATTGGAATTACTTTTCTCAGCCTTTTATTCTGAGGTAGTGTCTATCTTTGAAGTTGAGGTGTGTTTCTTGTATGTAGCAGAAAGATGGGTCCTGCTTTTGTATCCATTCTGTTAGCCTGTGTCTTTTTATAGGTGAATTAAGTCCATTGGTATTAAGGGATATTAATGACCAGTGATTGTTAATTCCTGTTATCTTTTGGTGGTAGTGTGTGTGTATTTCTCTTTTTTGGGATTTACTGCTGTGGGGTTATCTATTGCCTGTGTTTTTGTGGTTGTATCTGACTTCCTTAGGTTGGAATTTTCCTTCTAGTGCTTTCTGTAGGGCTCGATTTTGGGGTAGGTATTGTTTAAATCTGGTTTTGTCTTCTGGAATGTCTTGTTCACTCTATCTATGGTGATTGAAAGTTTTGCTGGGTATATTAGTCTAGGCTGGCATCTGTGGTCTCTTAGTGTCTGCATTACATCTGTCCAGGTCCTTCTGGCTTTCAAAGTCTCCATTTTGAAGTCGGTTGTTATTCTGATGGGTCTGCCTTTATAAGTCACTTGGCCTTTTTCCTTTTCTGCTCTTAATATTCTTTCTTTATTCTGTATGTTGAATTGTTTAATTATTATGTGGCAAGGGGACTTTTTTGGGGGGTCTAGTCTGTTTGGTGTTCTATAGGCTTCTTGTATCTTCATAGGCATTTCCTTCTTTAAGTTGGGAAACCTTTCTTCTATGATCTTGTTGAATATATTTCCTGTGCCTTTGAGTTGGTATTCTTCTCCTTCTTCTATCTATTATTCTTAGGTTTGGCCTTTTCATGGTGTCCTAGATTTCCTGGACATTTTGTGTTATGACTTTTGGGGCTTTGGTATTTTCTTTGACTGACGAATCCATTTCCTCTATTGTATCGTCTACACCAGAGATTCTGTCTTCCATCTCTTTTATTCTGTTGGCTATGCTTACATCTGTGTTTCCTGTTCGTCTACTCAGATTTTCTATTTCCTTCATTTCCTCTGTGTCTTCTCCATTGTTTCTATTTCCCTTTTCAGGTCTTGAACTGTTTCCCTTACATGTTTAATTGCTTTTTCATGATTTTCTTGGCTTTCTTTAAGGGATTTATTGATTTCTTCCAAATTTTTGTTTGTCTTTTCCTCAATTTCTTTAAGGGAATTTTTCATTTTTTCTTGAAAGCCCTCTAGCATCTTCATGAAGCTATTTTTATGTTCGCTTTCTTCTGTTTCTTCTACATTGTGATGTTCAGGTCTTGCTGTTGGAGGAGGGCTAGATTCTGGTGATGCCATATTGCTCTTTATGTTCTCGTATGTATTTTTGCATTGACATTTGCCCATCTCTTCCTCTAATAGGTATAAGAGGTGCCTGTGTCTGAGCAAGTTGCTATTGGTCCACTGTGCTTGTTGTGTCTGTGTCTCAGGGGCCCCTCTGGGTCCAATCTTAGCTCTTAGTCTAATTGGAGCTGGCAGATTCTGTATCTCAGGGAGCTGCTCTTGGCTCAACCCAAGTTAGTTGATTCTGTGACTCACGGAGCTGCTCTTGGTCTTATCAGGGCTCTTGGTCCAGTCAGAGCTGACAGATTCCCTGTCTCAGGAAGTTACTCTTGGTCCAATGAGAGCTCTTTGTCCAATGAGAGCTGGCGTTTTGGTTTCCATGCCTCAGGAAGTTACTTGGGCCACAGATGGATGGGTATTGGGGCAGAACATGTAGATTGCAGGGTCCGATGACGGATTTGAGTGGGGGGGTCCTTCCCGCAGGAGTTTTCCCTGCTGGCCGGCAACTAGGTTAGAGTTAGGTAGGGGTTCCTGGGGACTGGCTGTGTCCCAGGGCCTGGGTTCTAGGGACAGGACTCTCTCTTTTCCATAGTTTTAAAATCTGTAATACTCAACAACTTTTTAACTGAAATGTAATGTGATACAGTTATGTAAACATTTACATTAGTAAATCTTAAAACTGTTCAACCCCTTGGTGCTTTTCAGCATTTGTTTAGCCAGTTTCTAAGACTACGTGCATGTTTTCTGATACGCTTCTGTTCTTACACCCTCAGTAATCGTGTGGAAGCCTGGACAAGGGATGTTGCATTCTTGCTCAGACAAGAAGGCAGGCCTGTGGTTAATCTTATCCCTGATAAGAATAGAAGGAGAGTGATGGAAAGGGACTGGCAGAATACAGACAAAGCGATTGACTGGCTAAGACAGGAAGCCATTAACTACACCAAACCATTTGTCCTTTACTTGGGATTGAATTTACCACACCCTTACCCTTCACCTTCTTCAGGAGAAAACTTTGGCTCTTCTACATTTCACACATCTCTTTATTGGCTAGAAAAGGTAAGTATTCTATGTGTGCTCAAAAATAGACATTGATGTCACATGCAAAGCCACCTGGTGTTAGCTCAGTTTTACTTTTATTATTTTTATAGAAAAATTGGGAACTTATACTTTTAAACTGAAACCATAATGAGTTTGTTAAAAGTATGATACTTTGGAAATAAAATATTAGAACTCGTTAGCTGTATAGATTTACATATGATATGTCTATAAAAAGGAACAGAAAGACATTATCTTTGCAGTATGGGCAGGCCTCACATCCCCAGTTCAGAATGGTAAAAATAACCATACAGAATGAAACTGAAAAAACAATCTTAATTGTCAAAGGAAGAATTTATTATTTTTTTCTAAAAATTTTAAAACCATCTGCCAAAATATTTAAAAATTTGCTTTGGTTTGTCAGTAGAGATAGGAAAAAGTATTATTTAGTACACTGTGCTGAAAACACAGAAATGTTTGGGATTAGTGTTGTAAAAAGTGTATGAGGTACAGTGTGAGCTGTGCCTGCCTTCCCCTGTGCAGATCCTGACCTGCAGTGTGAGCATGCCTGCCTTCCCCTGTGCAGATCCTGACCTGCAGTGTGAGCATGCCTGCCTTCTCCTGTGCAGATCCTGACCTGCAGTGTGAGCATGCCTGCCTTCCTCTGTGCAGATCCTGACCTGCAGTGTGAGCATGCCTGCCTTCTCCTGTGCAGATCCTGACCTGCAGTGTGAGCATGCCTGCCTTCCCCTGTGCAAATCCTGACCTGCAGTGTGAGCATGCCTGCCTTCTCCTGTGCAGCTGACCTACAACAAGCATCTTCTCTTGGCTTTGCAAATTGTCATACTTCTTTCTCTGTTTGGATCAACTTCCTACATTTTTACTTTTTGGCTTCCAATAGAGAGTTCCTTCAATGTGAATATTTTTACAGGTTTCTGTACGTAAATCTCAATCCTTTTCTTCAAACTGGTCTTCCTGGTTATGTTAAGTGTACAACCCGTAAGCTCCTCTGACCATGAATCTGAATTCTTTGAGATAGCAGCACTATTAGCATCCCAAGACCATCCTTTTCTTCTATTATTTCGTATATGTGTGACTTGAATTCACTTCAGTTTTAGCACATTTCATTTCTTTATTGAATGTTCATCTTCCTGAATTTTCTTTCATTATTCACTTTTGTGAAGTGACTCATGGATTTATCACTGGGAGACAAATCTGTTCTCTTTATGACCCTTCAAAGAAAGCTTATCAAAACCTGAAATGCTCCTGCTCCACATAGTGTAAATAAGGTTTACTCGGCACATTCCTGCTTGGAGAATTAGCATGTTCTTTTTAATCACTCTATGTATGAGACGTTGTGAAGTTTGAAGTTTGCCACAGATATTTGTGGGAAGAAAGGATACTATTAATTTGCTAATGTAAAGCTATTCCTTCTTCCTTTTCAGGTAGCCTATGATGTCATCAAAATCCCAAAGTGGTCAGCTTTGTCAGAAATGCACCCTGTGGACTATTACTCTTCCTATACAAAAAACTGCACAGGGAATTTTACCAAAATGGAAATTAAGAACATTAGAGCATTTTATTATGCTATGTGTGCTGAGACAGATGCCATGCTAGGTAGGTGGTGCAATTACAGGAAGAAAAGGATAATATTTTTCTAACAAATTGTGATTGTGCTAGTTGAGGCTTGCGGGAGCATCGTCAGATATTTCTTAAAGCAATTGCTTAGATCCTTCAGACTTAGGACTTTGAGGATCTTGACTCATAAAAATACATTAACAACAAAATAAAGGGCCCTTTCTATTTTAATTATTCATAAGTTCTCAGGTTGTTTCATACATAAAAAGTCATAGAAAGCTGTTTTCTGCTTAAAACAAAACACTTGGCTGAACACGACAGGCATGTAACTGTAAGGCAGCTTAGCTTCCAAGAGATGAGAAGAAGTTTCACATTCCAAATACTGATGTAGAGGAATCAGTTTGGTGGTCTGCACACACCTTTGGAGTCTCAGGAGAATGGTCATCAGAAGTTAAATAGAGGGAGACATAGAGGAATTAAGAGTAGAAAATCTCTTTAACTTTTTTTCAAATAGATGTAAATTTCTTACATATGCTTATCATTAGTTATCAAGTAATATTTTTATGTAAAGATAGAAAAAGTCACTTTCTGATAAAAGTTGTAGATTAAATTATTTCTATAAAATCACTCATTAAAATAACAAAATTCCAATATGAATCTTATGATTGCTGGAAATATCAGTCTTCGGGAGGGACAGATGGTAGGTTAAGGTGTTGTGAAAACAGCATAGCACTCACGTTTGCATCATAGTATCATTTTAAACATCGTAATATGTATTCTAGGAGAAACAGAAGGTAGGGGAAACTCTAGTCAGGAGTAATATATGAGAGAAAAATAAAATAAAATGAAATGAAAACGTCTTCTAGAGTGGTTAAGAGTACTTACTTGCAGAGGACTCATAGTTCACTCTATTGTTCCAACATGTTCTGCTTCTTAGCCTCAACTCGTAAACAGAGGTCCATGTCCCTTTCCCGCACTCCTTTCACACAGGAAGATCAACAGATGTCAGTTAGTATGTACGTAGTGTCCTAGAAATGTCAACACTCAGGCTGGAGACAGCTTAGCTCTTGCAGGCTAAGAATCACAGTCAAAAGGACAAGAACTATATTAACACTAATTTATAAATCACAATTAGGAAGTTTTTGTCTGCAAAATGTTAAATAATATGCTCTAGACGCAGGAAAATGTAATGGAATTCAGCTACTATCACAAAAGCTACTACTTGGAAAAGTCAAGGACTCCTCTAAAGGTCAAGCCATTTCTTAAGAAGTCTTGGTGATATTTTAGCTTTTATATATGTATATACAGCAAGCATCTTCTCTTGGCTTTGCAAGTATATATATTAGCTGGTTCCTACAATAATTTTCTTGTGATGCTGTGCATGCTTCCAAGAACTCCTAACAGTGTACTTATCTAAAATACCTATCAAGCATCCAAGGCCAAACAAAACAACACCTGTTTCCTAGGTCAGGAGGATAGCTTTACTTCTTGTGCAGTTTAGGGTGAAACCCTCCTTCCTTACAGCCTTACTAATAGTAATTTCTCCTAATTTCTTACCTAACCACTTTTCTAAGAATGTAGATTGAGCACATAAATTCCCTTCTTGACTAACCAATCATTAGCACTCGTTTGGGTTGTAAAAGAAAGCCTGCCGGTCACTGCCTGAAGAAAATTCTTACCTGCCTTTATGACCCCGTAAGAATTCAAGACTGGTGACCTTGCTCTGCCAGAGGATCGCTGTGGCTTGGGTTTATAACTGAACACCTCAGAGACTGAGAGAGACTGAGAGAATAAGGAGACTGAGAGGAGGAGGAGGAAGGAGGGAAAAAGACACTTCTTTAGGAGAGCTGGGAGTTGTCATTAGTTTTTAATGACAGGCGGACCTGTGAGGATAATATAAGCAGATTAAACATGGTCCCACTAATTTATGAGATCTGTTAATTTTTTAGCTAATCTCTTTACTAGTTTACAGGTAAACATTCACTGTGTGAAAAATACCTTCAGTGTAAATAATTAACACCCAATATTTACTATCATTTTTATTGGTTTTACTACATATGTACCAGTTTCATTTTAATGTCTCTAATAATTTTTTTAAGAGAGGGACTTCTTTGTTAGCATTTATAGCTGTTTCCACACTTGTAATACCTACAAACAAATTCATTCTCCCTAGACCCTTTAGAGGAAGGCTTACCTACAGCTCAGATCCACTTCCTCTGATGACTGCAATCACTGGGTTTCCTGACATTCAGCCTCAAAGTCAGCTCAGACAAGCCTGCCTCCATGACTGTCCGAGATTTCCCCCTGATCACGGTAGTGCTGTTTCTACTTCCTACATTAAGAAATCTTGTTTTTAAAAATCAGCAGCTTTTTGATGACAAGTTATTTTCACATCATCATGTCACTCACTTGCTACATTTTGGGACAGAACATAACTTCACTGGTCAAGTGTGGACAGCACCTTTTTCTATATACAAAAAAACAGCCAGTGCTATTAGAAGTATTCACTGAGTAAATGGAATACAGCAGAAAGAAGGAAGCCATGTGGACACATTATTTATATAATCAGTGTATATATGAAAAAGTAACAAGGACTTTACAAGTTCTCGTGTGTGTGTGTGTGTGTGTGTGTGTGTGTGTGTGTGTGTGTGTGTGTGTAAGACTAACCCTGAACCCACTATGTACCTTAGGCGGGCCTTGAATCCCTGATTTTTCTGCTGCTGTCTCTCAAGTATTAGGATTAGTACACACCGCCACACCTGGCACCAAGTTCTCCCTCATGACAGTAAGATTTTAAGTGTTTCTCTAGCATAACTATGACTGTGTTAGTTTAGACGTAACATATGACCACTGAGTGTATTTCATTGGTATTTCCTGACACTGGGAAATGTTTACTCATCTGCATGCTCCAATTGCTTTAAAAGTTTGTGATTACGTCTTCTAAGGTGAAACATTGTGTGCTCTGTGCTGCAGCAGGTGGGACAGACAATTTTTGAAGTGTCTTCAGCAGAAAAGAAAAAATGAACAGACACTGAGCATGTGAGCATACGTAGTGTTGTGACATAAGCAGTGGATGGCTAGAGGAAAGAGAAGAGTGAGACTAGGACACTAACAGAGTGTCTGGGGATGGCGCTCCTGAGGAGGTAGTGTGTCAGCTGAGAGCTGAGAAAAAGCCAGCATGGAGAAAGCAAAACCAGGCACATCCTAGGCAGATGAGGCAGAAAATACAAATAATTGTAATGTCTTAAATTAACATGTAATTTCTTTTTTAGAGAGGGAGAGGGATAATATATTTCAAAATATACTTTATGAATTTCACTTTACATACATAATACACACTCTTCCATGCGTGAACATTAAAGAAGTTCACAGAAGGGAGGTTACACCCCAGGACATAGGTGTGGGCTCCACAAAGAAGAGCTGAGGATGTTATTTCTTGATGGTATTCAACGTAATGCCAACACAGCACCTGGTAGCTAAAGGTTCATCAAACAAACGCAGTTCGCTCAGCAGGAGGGAGCAGTAGGTCACGTGCTTGTCGTCATGCACACAGGAGAAGGAAAGGACTGACCCCCACAGCTCCCTCAGGCCTCCGCCCAGTGCTATGGCTCATGTATGTTTACAGACAAACATAGAGATAAACATCAGGGTTTACAATGTATTACTGTAGTCGTGGACAAACCATAGGGAGCTTGGGGAACAGAGTGAGTCAGTGTGTGTGGAAGAGCAGAGAAGGCGTCCTGGAAGAAGGGTGAAAGCATGAGAGGAGGGTAGGAGAAAGACATTCAACACAGAGGAAAAGAAACCATGAACTGATACCCTCTTCAGAGTGCACTTTGTGGTCTGGGGCTGCTGGAAGGCAAAGCTTCACCAGCTAGTTGAGGGGGTATGTATGGAGAGTAGTATGGCAAGACCAGGCTATCAGATCTTCTAGAAACAAGGCGTCCATCAGAGTGTGCAAGGAATACACCTGAGAAGAAAGAGGAGTAGAGAAGGGAAAAAAGTAGTAAGCAATTCCTTTTGTCTAATTGAAAGATCATGAGGTCTTAATTCTGTAGAGCATTAGACCTCAACTCTGACTGGACCTATAAATATGTGTATTTAATATAGACCTTTGCACCCCAAATTCAAGATCTAGCAAAATAAAGATAATTTCCCCTTTCTCTGCACTATGCTTTATTGTGATTTTCATAATTCCAATGGGGAGAAACTTTCAAGTCAGAGACAACGCTTCTCAGAATGTCACTGCTCAGGTACTCCCAAGTAACTGTGTGCTCATGACACATCCTTCGTTACCATAAGCTAGGTTTAAGAGCATAAAATGGCTGCTGCATGAGGGCTAGGAGAAGAGATAGCAAGGAAGTTTGGCTTGCTCGTAACCCCTCTTATTGTGCAGAAAGCTTGGGCCAGTAGTGATGGCAGTCTTCATTAACACCTGAGTCATGTCTAGAGTGACAAGCAGACTTGTCTGTCTGTCCCCAGTTGAGGTGCTGAGAGGGAAAAGCTCCTCTGGCCTCGGGTGTTCTCTGACAGAAGCTGAAGAGGTGATCCAGTAGATACTGCCTTCCTCCCTTCCTCTCTTCAGTCTGTCAGCTGAGGAGAAAGCCCGTGAGAGTATTGGGTTTGCTTGGCTGGTAAGAAGGATTGCAGCACACTCTGGGTACTGCTGATTAAACTTAGTGAGGCAGAGTCAGACGTGAACAAAAGCTAATCTAAAGAACTATCTTGATTTGTATGGTAGGTGAAATTATTTTGGCGCTTCGCAAGTTAGATCTTCTTCAGAAAACAATTGTTATATATACTTCAGACCATGGAGAGATGGCCATGGAACACCGCCAGTTTTATAAAATGAGTATGTATGAAGCTAGTGCCCATGTTCCACTGTTGATGATGGGACCAGGAATCAAGGTCAACCTACAAGTGCCAGATTTTGTTTCTCTTGTGGATATCTACCCTACAATGCTTGGTGAGTACTCTTTATGGAAATATTTATTTGTAATGCTAGGAAAAAAAAAAAAACACGTACTCGGAATTCCACTAGCTTGAGTGACTCTCACTCCGAGTCAAGTTTGTACTCTGAAAAGCAAGAATGATGTTTCTCTGGTTCCAATGACCTTCACTCACGTTAGTAAATCAGGATATGACTCCAAAATAAGACACATCAGATTTTTGGGTGCATAACTTTATTTTATTTATTTACATACAACATTCAACTCCCTACCACCACCTCCCTAAAATAAAAGTATTTCCACTATAGAATCTTCTATTCACTTTTTACAGAGTGTATTAGTTACTTTTCTATTGCTGAGACAAAGCACCAAGGCCAAGGGTACTATTAAAAGAAAGAATTTAGTTGGCTCATGTTTTCAGAGGGTGAGAGTCTATGATGGTGGCTGGAGCAGCTTAGACCTCACATCTTGATCCACAGCCTTGAGGCAGAGAAAGAGCACTGGGAATCACATGAGTCTTCTGAAACCGCAAAGCCTCCTCCAGGGACACACGTCCTCCAACAAGGCCACACCTCCTAATCCTTCCCAAATAGTTCCACCAGCTGGGGGCCAAGTATTCAAATATATGAGCCTAAGTGGGCCATTCTCATTTTCTGTCTAATCGTGTGAACATATTTCCCCTCAAACACTTTTCCTAGTTGTACACTATTTACTTTATTGCCTGCTTCTTAATGTCTGTAGGGATAGCCAAAGGTCCATAGTAGTAACATTTGGACTGCAGTAGCAAGCTGCATTGAAGATAATAGACTAAGGACATCTTCAAACTCAGAGGAAATTAGGTAAAACTGTAGGTTTTTAATTTAGCAGAGTAATTTAAAGTCACTGTTTAAATACTATAATTCTACTCTTTGGCATCACAAATTGCAAAAACTAGCATTAACTTACACATGTTGCTTAAAGATAACATTTCTCTACTTTGGAAATGGTAAAATATGAAGCACATTCCTTAAAAATCAAAGCAATACTAGTTCTTATTTTCTTCCTTCTGCTCAGTGTCCTCAGAGGTGATTTAAATCAGAGCTCTCTCCTTTGTTATTCCTGTTGTTATTTGTGCTTGGACATCTTCCTAGCCCTTAGAGCTTCAGTCTCTGGTTGCTCACTCATCGCTTGATTTCCCCTTCCTGCAGAGCAACGACCACGTGTAGCCAGATCAACCACATCTCACTTGATGCCCAGGTCCCTGTTACTTTCTCTCATGTTTTTTTAAAGCTTTCCTGAACATATGTATTCTATGTCGAGCATTTTCTTTCTCATATTCCCCTACTCCTCCTTTTCTTATCTTCATTCTGTTTTGTTGAGCATGTATGCGATTCTCTACTTCTACATGTATGTGATTCTCTACTTCTACATGAATGTGATTCTCTACTTCTACATGAATGTGATTCTCTACTTCTACATGAATGTGATTCTCTACTTCTACATGAATGTGATTCTCTACTTCTACATGAATGTGATTCTCTACTTCTACATGAATGTGATTCTCTACTTCTACATGAATGTGATTCTCTACTTCTACGTGTGTGAGATTCCTTTGAAAACTGTGCTGTGCCCAGCCCCTTCCAGCCCCTCTTCCCTCTGCTCCACTGTGTGCTCTTGCTGCCATGATATTACATCTTACCACAGACCACAGAAAAGGAACACACCGGCCACAGGCTCTGAAACCATAGCTGAAAGAAATCTTCACTCCTTAAGGTTTTTCCTGGAGTATTTGTCACAGTGGCAAAAAGCTAGCGTCCACAGTATAGTTATCCCTACTTGCCACTTAATGCATTAGAAAAGTTCAGGATAATTTCCAGATTTGCATACATCATAATGTATCCTCAGATAGCTTTAAATATCTTAAATAAATGTCAAATATATTGTCATCATGAATTTTATGATATTTTTATCTGTTAAAGCTAGCTGAGATATGGGTATTTTTATTTTTCCGTCAAGCAAGGTACCTGACTATCACTCCATGGTTTATGGTACTTGAAAATAAGAATTTTGCAGAAACATCTTTAAATCCATCCTTGTTCTGAAATGATTAAAGTTCTTGGCAGTTGGGGGTTTTTCTCTGTAATTTGTCCTTTATTCTAGAGCTAAAGGTTGACATAGATCTTTATTTTGATCATCCATGAAATTTTTGATTATAGACTGCTCCTCAGTTAGATTTCACTGCAAAAATATATGTTAACAGAATTCTGTGTTTGTTAGGCCTGTCCAGAAATAGTAAAAGGAATAAAGCCAAAAATAATTTTCTCTCCAATTCTTAAGTAAAAATTAACAGTGCCAAGGTTAGCACAGTTTACAGTGTGTTGCATAAGAGATTCTTTTCATTGCCAGAAGAGCAAATGCTGCTGATATGTATGATACTTAGATAGAGGGAGACAATGCAGGAAAGTGTCTGTGCGTGGGCCTTTCAGTAAGACACTAAAGTGTCCGTTCATCAGAGGTCAGCCAGTGGTAAGATAGGAACCGCGTTGTAACAATGCCGTGACAGCTACTTGAGTTAGTCACATTTTTATAAATAGTGAAAGCGTAAAGAAGACATAGAGAGATGCCTTATTAACTACTCAGCCAAAAGACATAAACCACTTCACAACAGAAGATGTACAAGCAGCCAAAATGTGTGTGTGTTTGTTTTTAGAGGCATAAGTAAATGGATCTTTGTGAATTTGAGGCCAGCCTTGTCTACATAGCAAGTTGCTGGCTAGTCAGGTACATAATGAGACCTTGTCTCAAAAACAAACAAACAAAAAAACTATTTAAATAAGAATGTACATATTCTTTCACATACAGAGTTTACAAAGACTAAGAATTGGAAAATCTTCTGTTGGAAATAGGTCTTCCCATTTGCTGCTAGAATAAAAACTGGCACAAATTTTCTCAAGGCAAATGTGACCCCATTTCTTGGAAGCCTGCCTACCTTCAGGAAGTGGCCTATAGATGCACACAGATGTGTATCTCTGGATACTATTAAAGAGTTAGAAACCTGGTAAATGTCTGACCTAAAAACCTAAGTCGTAGATTAGGTTTGAAAGTGTACTGAGATGAAAATAGACTACTTATATTATTTAAAAGAAAGTGGTTCTAACATTGTATGAACAAGGCTTGGTTTTATTTGAGACAGTATCCATCTAATTTGCTATCCAAATCAGCACATTTTTTTCTAGAATAGGGGAATATGATTACCAATTACACCAGATTAATAGCCCTAAGCTCTCTTTTGCTTTATTTAATGCCCATTACAGCTAACAAAGCTAAGTTAATCCTGAAGGTTCCTGTTCCGGGTATTCAATTCATTTTTAAAACCTGTCATTTCTCAGTGATGGAAGAATTTAAAGGAATTCTAGGAATGATTAGCTCTCAAATTGAACCTGTGAGGCAGCATGTTCTGTCTTACTGTGGAATAAATAAACATGCATATTTTGACCAAACATCTTCAGAGATCTTCCTTTTAATTAAGAGATTCAATTATAAATGATAATCTAGTCTTAAGACGCTAGTCCTTTCCTTGGTGGCTCAACTGTCGCTGCATCATGTCTCATAAATTAATTGCGTGTGAAGAGTACGAGGCTAAACTCAGTTTTAATCCAGGTTCCCTCTTCTCCTAAGTGGTATCATAGAAAACATGATGAGTGAGAAAAACTTCAGCAGAAGACTAAATGGGAAAAGCCTGTGTGGTTTATTCATTTACTTGCACCTACCTTCCTATCAATAGTTTGTTCAAACTTAAGATGCTGTGGTTGCTTTTACTTAAAAGACTAAATTCACAGTTTTTTTGTTTTTTTGGTTTTTTTTTTTTGGTTTTTCAAGACAGGGTTTCTCTGTGTAGCTTTGTGCCTTTCCTGGAACTCACTTGGTTGCCCAGGCTGGCCTCGAACTCACAGAGATCCGCCTGGCTCTGCCTCCCGAGTGCTGGGATTAAAGGCGTGCGCCACCACCGCCCGGCCAAAATTCACAGTTTTTTAATGAGACTTTGAAAAAATGCCTTTTTCCAAAAAGCTACTTTATGATAAAGTGCAAAGAATATTTGTAGTTTGTTCATCCTTGCTGGTCTATATAGTGTGTAATCATTTTATCATTGCCTCATACTGACAGAACACTGCTGTCTTTTATGCCTGGGAATTCTTTATACTATTAAAGTTGATTATCGCCTAATTATTCTTTGTAAGTTACTCTCTAGAATATTTTTCTACAATGCATGCTTGTGGTGCACAAGCACCTCAGAGGCCACAAAGAGGTGTCAGATGCCCTGGAACTAGAGTTACAGACAGCTGTGAGCTACCATGTGGGTGCTAAAAATCAAACCAGGGCCTCTAGAAGAGCACCCCGTGCTCTTAACCACTGAGCTATCTTTCCACCCCAAGAATTCTGCCGTTTCAGTCTTTGCTTATGCTGCCAAAAGAGGTGAGACTTGGCTTAAAATAGAATTGGATGACAGATTTGCTGGACAAGTCGGTATGAAATATGGGCTTTAAGTTTAAGAACTTTCTTTAATTTTTTATTGTATTTATTTATTTCATGGGTGCCTGTCTGTAGGTGTGTATGGACATACATGTGCCACAGTGTACATGTGGAGGTCAGAAAACAACTTCTGGGAGTTGAGTCTCTCCTTCCACCATGTGAGTCCCAGGAATCAGACTCAGGTTGTCAGGACTACAAGGCCAGTACCTTTACTTACTAGACCATTGTTATGCCCAGATTGTGACCCCAAAGAGACCACCGAAGACCTTAGGTACAGAATGCAAAAGCAAGGTTTATTTCTGTTTGTTTACAAGCCTCGGGCAGGGAAGCTCAATCCAAAGCACTCACTCAAGGTAACAGTGAGGCCAGGAGGAGCTTGCTTTTTCTTTGTGTGGCTAGCTTTTTAAAGGCAAAAACCACAAGCTCTTCAGGGGGCTTGGGGGAGTTTTGCACGGGTGCAACTCGGATTGGTTTATTTTTATCTCTGTTCTCTTTTAATTGGGTGAGGGTATGTAACCTTTGAATTTACTGGTTGGTGGTTACAATTATCACTTTGGGGGCAGTCCAGCATAAGTCCCAGGCTTTGTCCTTGAGCCACCGTGGGGGCTGGCTGGCCAAGCACATACTGCACATAACTCTAAATTGGGGAGGGGTCCCAGACAGTAAACATCTGGCTGAACTTTGAGCAGTCAAAGTACGTGCAGAAAGGGAGCTACTGCAAGGACTATGTCTTTTGTTCATGGCCCTCCCAGAAACTGCTTGCTCAAGTCTCAGGAAACTGAAATTGAGGCCTGATCTCTGAGAGAAGACTGAGCAGCCTGTTATGGCATCTGCTTGGTCCTTTCAACCATCTCACTGGCTTATCAAAATACTAAAAAGTATTTCCAAAAAGAAAGCAATTTAAGCTTAAGGGTTTTTAAGGAAATTGTTGCTAAATAAGAAAGGAAAATGTTGGCCGGGCAGTGGTGGCGCACGCCTTTAATCCCAGCACTCGGGAGGCAGAGCCAGGCGGATCTCTGTGAGTTCGAGGCCAGCCTGGGCTACCAAGTGAGTTCCAGGAGAGGCGCAAAGCTACACAGAGAAACCCTGTCTCGAAAAACAAAAAAAAAAAAAAAAAAAAAGAAAGGAAAATGCAGTTTTATGAGGTACAAAACAATGGATATTTAAGTACTTACTGGGGGCATGGTGGAGGCAGGTGATCTCTGTCAGTTTGTGGATAGCCTGGTCTAAGTAGCAAGTGCTAGGCCAGCCAAGGATAAGACCCTGTCTGAAATAATGTTAGTATAGGTAACTAACATCAGTTTTATTCTTGGTTTTTGTTTGTTTGTTTGTTTTGTTTTTGTTATTATTCTTGTTGTTGTTGTTGTTATATTTTTGTTTTTTAGATCCTGCTTCTGCTTCCTGGGTGCTAGGAATAAAAGGCATGCATATGCCACAATGCCTGGCTATTGGTTTTATTCTCAACCTCAATTTACAAAGTAAATAGCAATAGTAGACTGGAAACTTAAGTTCCTGTAATCTATTGCTTAGGCTCTTGCCATGGCTTCCCAGCTGTCTTCCTTTTGTCTGACAGTTTATCCATTTACTATACACTGTTAGTCTTAGTCTGTATCAATACTTTGCTCAGTTTCCTGTGTCGCCCAAACACAAGTCCAAGTACTTTCACTGGACCCGGGAGATCAACATGGCCTCTTCCCTCTCCCCAACATCTTGTAAAATCATGCACTTCTTTGCTCCATCTAGCCCTCTTGGGAACCAATCATGTGCCTAACTTGGGGACTTTATACATGGTGTTCCATAGGAGATAGCAAGGAGAACTTGTCTGCAGCTCTACATAAGACTCATTACCTGGCCTCTCACCTTATCAGAGAGCCGTTCTGACTGCATGATCTACAAGCATACAGACCCGGCCCTGCACATGCCTGCCCTCACTGCCTACAGACCTGCTTTATGCTTCCTTGCTCCTGTGTTGCCGTCTGACATACCAGCCTTTCCCCAGCTGTAGGACAGCTCTGAAGAGCAAATCAGCTTTCCACTGCCACCCTCCTACAACTGCAACAGGGCCCGGTTTGCTGTTTGCTGAATGATAAACAGTGAGCACGTGAGTAGACCCATTCCTCATTCGACTGCCGACCACCCATAAACATGAAGAGAGAGATTCATGGTTTTCTATACATTTGTAGGGATATTAAACAAGAAAATTCTGAATTATATTTCTAAATTAGATGTTATTAAGATGCTGATTATGAGTGTATGCCATTTGCTCGCTGCTTCCCATTCATCTTCAGGGCTCTATTCTCCCCTTGTGGCTCACTAATGATGGTCAAGGCATGGACCCCCTCACCCAGCTTCTTTCCTCCTGACTTTCTTTTGTCTTAAAGTAGAATAAGGTAGAAAAGACCAGATATTAGATGCCGATTTATTGATTTGTTTTGTGGTTTACTTAAAGCACTGCCAGGACAGCCTATTTGCCAAGCATGACTTCACTTTCTTACTCAAGGAGCAGAATGACCTGGAGAAGGAGCTAATACAATGGGCTGTTGCCGTAACAGCCAGTTGACTTCCATGATTATCCTTTACTTTATAGCTAATATCTACTTAAGAGTGAGTACATACCATGTTTGTCTTCCTGGGTCTGGATTACCTCACTCAGGATGATTTTTTTCTAGTTTCATCCATTTGCCTGCAAATTTAATGATATCACTGGGTTTTTTTGTTTGTTTGTTTGTTTCTGTTTTTGTTTTTGTATTTTGAGACAGCATTTCTCTGTGAAACAGCCCTGGCTCTGTAGACCAGGCTGGCCTTGAACTCACAGAGATCCGCCTGCCCCTGCCTCCCAAGTGCTGGGATTAAAGGTGTGCGCCACCACCGCCCGGCCATGTCATTGTTTTTTTAAGCTGAGTAATACTCCATTGTTTATACTCCACATTTCTTTATCCATTCTTCAGTTGAGGGACATCTAGGTTGTTTCCAGTTTCTGGCTATTATAAATAAAGCTGCTATGAACATAGTTGAGCAAATGTGGTTATCCTTTGGGTATATGTCTAGGAGTGGTATAGCTGGATCTTGAGGGGATCAATTCCCAATTTTCTGACAAACTGCCATATTGATTTCTAAAGTGGCTGATCAAGTTTACACTCCCACCAGCAATAGAGGAATGTTCCCCTTGCTCCACATCATCTCCAGCATGAACTGTTGCTTGTGTTTTTAATCTTAGCCATTCTCACAGGTATAAGATGGAATCTCAGAGTCGTTTTGTTTTGCATTTTCCTCATGGCTAAGGATGTTAAACATTTCTCTGAGTTTTTCTCAGCCATTTGAGATTCTTCTGTTGAGAATTCTCTGTTTATATCTATACCTCACTTTTAATTGGATTACTTGGTTTTTTTGATGTCTAGTTTCTTGAGTTTTTTATATATTTTGGAGATCAGTCCTCTGTCAGATTTGTAGTTGGTGAAAATCTTTTCCCATTCTGCAGGCTGCTGTTTTGTCCTGTTGACTGTTGATGGTGTCCCTTGCCTTACAGAGTTTTTCAGTTTCATAAGGTCCCATTTGGTTGGTTTTGGGTTTTTTTTTTTGTTTGTTTTGTTTTTTTAATTTTTCGAGACAAGGTTTCTCTGTGTTAACAGTCCTAGCTATCCTGGAACTTGCTTTGTAGATCAGGCTGGCCTTAAACTCACAGAGATCCACCTGCTTCAGCCTCCCAAGTGCTGGGATTAAAGGCGTGGTCCATTTGTTAATGGTTGATCTTAGTGCCTGTGCTATTGGTCTGTTCTTCAGGAAGTGTTCTCCTGTGCCAACGCATTCAAGGCTATTCCCCACTTTTTCTTCTTATGAGGTTCAGTTTATCTGGTTTTATATTGAGGTCTTTGATCTACTTGAACTTGAGTTTTGTACAAGGTGATAGATACGAATCTATTTGCAATCTTCTGACATCCAGTTAGACCAGCACCATTTGTTGAAGATGCTTTCTTTTTTTCTATTGTATATTTCTGGCTTCTTTATCAAAAATCAGGTTTCCATAGGTATGTGGATTTACATCTGGGTCTTCAGTTCAATTCCGTTGATCGATACGTCTGTTTTGTGCTAATACAATTTGGTGGGTTTTTTTTAAAGATTTATTTATTTATTATGTATACAGCATGTATGACTGCAGGCCAGAAGAGGGCACCAGATCTCATTACAGGTGGTTGTGAGCCACCATGTGGTTGCTGGGAATTGAACTCAGGACATCTAGAAGAGCAGCCAGTGCTCTTAACCTCTGAGCCATCTCTCCAGTTCACAATTTGGTTTTTACTAACATTCTCTTTAAGATCCGTGTTTGAAATGCATCCTTTTTTAAACTGATTTATTTCATGTGTTCTTATTCTGAGTATTTGACAGGTGAAAAATAATCATCAAGGCACTTCAGAGCACAGGATGTACCATGTACCACTTTTGAGTTCTTAAGACACATCAACAATAAAATTTTGTCTACAATAAATTACCTGGTAGTGTTTAACTTCTGTAATCTTTTGCTACTACTAACCCCTCTTTGTGTCGGCCTTGTCCTTATCCTATAAGATAAACCTAGAGAAACCACTGTTCAGAAAACAAAGGACTGGTAATATCAAGTAATTTTGATGGAGGGCCCTAATGTGTCAGGCACTGTTCTCAAATTTAAGTAAGTTAGCTAGTTTTCACCAAAAATGAACATTTGAGATGGAAGTGTTCTTATTATGCCTCTCTTACAAATGAGGAAACATGGGGCTGGAGAGATAACTCAGTGGTTAAGAGCACTGGCTGCTTTTCCAGAGGACCCAAGTTCAATTCCCAGCACCCACATGACAGCTCACAACTGTCTATTACTCCAACACCCTCACACAGACAAATGTGCAGGCAAAACACCAATGCACATAAAATAAAAATAAATAAATAAAATATTTTTTAAAAGAAAGAATGAGGAACAGTCAGAGAACTTACTAACTCACTCAAGGTAACATGATTGACAGCGTGAGCACTTCAGCCTAGGCAGTGAGGTTACAGAATCCGTATATGATACCTAGTTTGCAACCCTTGGTGATGGGAAAGTAGAGATGCTGTTTTGAGATAATTCCAATGAATTAGTAAAGAAGCGTTTTACTTTTGTTCCAAAGATATTGCTGGGCTTGCTCTGCCTCAGACCCTCAGTGGGTACTCTTTGTTGGGGCTGTCATCAGAGACTTCTGCAAATGAGCAGACATTCAAAATCCACCGTCCGCCTTGGATTCTAAGTGAATTCCATGGATGCAACGTGAACGCCTCCACCTACATGCTACGAACCGGCCAGTGGAAGTATATCGCCTACTCTGACGGTGCTTCCGTGCAGTCCCAACTCTTTGGTAAGCTTCTTGATGCATTCTAAGTGGAGTGAGCTGATCTACATCACGTGATCAAGAGAGTTGTTATTAAAATAAATGAATACCTCTTGCTTCTCATACTGGGACAAGCTACAATAGGTCACCCCAGTCTCATGGTTTAGAGTTTAGATCTAGTCTCTTTATAAAAGCCACATGTCCTCTCTATTGACTGCTGATGGTAAAGGACATTTGCTGGTGTGAGTTATCAGTGTTCACTAATGAAAGAGGCGCAGCTGCCTCACACATCAGCACCTGGAACTGGAGGCAGCACACTGTGGCCTGGTGTCCAGATCTCATTCAACCATTGTTTCCTGGCAAGATCTTCCAGTGTTTGTTCTTTTTCTCCATCATCAGTCAACACCATCTCATCACACCTAAGTTTCATCAATTCTGTGATCAATGCCTTGCTCTTGGGGAGTCTGTCCATTCTACATCCATTCTTTAATGTTTCTCAAGGCCTGTGAGAGCATATCATTCTCTTTGCTTTGCTGAGAAGGAAATGGGGTCCCAGAAAGTGCGACAGCTGTTCAGGGCCTCAGAACTAGGAAGTCATAAAACTAAATGTTCAGCATGGGTCTCAGGACAAACCCCACAGCTCCTTCCACCCTGTGAAAATGCCTTCTAGCGTCACTCTCTGTGAATTCATTTTTA